CCACGGGGATGAATTACTGAAGGAAAATGCTATATTTCCCCATGGCTAGTTTAATTTAAAAAAAACAATGCACCAGACATGAAGGACCTTCTCCCCTGTGCCAGAGCAGGAAGGGCAGGGCTGACACAGGCACTGGTGGTGACCATGTCACCCAAACAGTTTCCTCTGTCATTAAACCCGCATTCCCAGCTCCAGAAACGCCCCCAGTGCATCCACTTGGCCAGCTTTGCTGCAGTTTTTTCCCCTCACTGCCCTTTTATTTGTACAAATTATCATACCCCCAGGCTCAAACATCTCAGATGCTGCAAAAAGAGAAAGAAATGCAGGGAGTGATGCCTCTCTTCATGCGCTGTCCTGCTCATGAGTGGCAGAATCCAGGCTGCCACTGTTGGAGACGCTGCCCTTGCTGTCCTTATCACTTGCACCTCTGTGATGTTTAAGATCTGAAGGGTAGAGCAGGTCTTTAATTTTGGAATGGAGGTGGTGAGGGTCCCCTGGGTCTGGCTGTGCAGGGGCTGAGGTGATGTGGAGGGTTCTTTGCTTTTCTTCCTGTGTTCAGCTGCGCTCTCAACATGAGAAGGTGCATTTCCAGCCCCAAAGTCATTGGGGTCTAGTAGAGCCTTTCTTTTCCCTACTTGATGGTAGAGCCCTATGGCTTCTTTCCAAGGCTGTTTTTGATTCCTTTTTAGAGCAGAAGACTGCCTCTGGATAAATAATTCGTGACCTGCAGCTCGAGAGGTGCAGTCAACTGAACTCCAGTGCAGGAGCTCTCTGGCTCTCCCAAGACACCTGCTTTTCTTCTCCTTTAAAAAAAAAAACACTTTCATATCTACCATTTACTTCTTGCCCACCTCTGAACCCCCAGGATCTTCTGGGCCTGCATTAAACAAGCCCATCTTCTGATCTCCCTGGGTTTGGCAGCCAGAGCCCTGCTCGTGGACAGCTCCTCGCTAAGCCCTAGTGATGTTTATTGATTCCTAATTTCCATCCCCTGTGGTAGCCAAAGAGCTTTGTCCAGCGCTCAGGTTAAAGAAAAACCTTGGCACGAATCCATCAGATGGAACAGGGCTTCTTGTGTCTTTTGTACCACGCTCAGGAATTAACTCATCCTCTGAGTCAACACATGTGTGTCTGTGCGGATTATCGCTCCTGCAGATAACTGTGCAACCATGGTTACAGCCTTTTAGGTGCTGGGATATTTGGGGCAGACTGTAATTTTGGCTCAGTACTTTGAAAGATGAAGGGGAGTCTGGTAGAAAAGGCTCTGCTCCTCTGGGTCTTTGGAGGATGGAAAATATCAGGCCCTTCTGGTGGTTGTGGCACGAAGCCGTGCGACGGTGCATTTGTGCCTCAGCATAATGTGCTTTTTTATTTATTACCCTTAAACAAGAAAGAAACACCCCAAAGGGGACTTTTCCTGCTGGTCAGGGTGAAGAATTACACCCAAGTGACCCACTTGGGTCCATCAGACCATTCCCTGCTCCCGGACTGGGCACAGTGTAGTCACGTTAAATCCATCGGTGAGTGACACAAAGACCCTTTGGCACAGAGGGTAAAGCAAACTGCTCGTGGAGGTGGTTGGAGCTGTGAAGTCTGGGCCACCAGTTGATTTACCACTGGCACAGCGATGCTGAGCCAGGTCGATAAAGAAGCCAGACTCCAAAAATGGAATTAAATAATTATTCTCACTTTCTTTGACTTCGGGAAGATCCTATTAGAGAAAAGAGCCTGGATTACTGCCTGGCTGACATTTTCCTCTGAGCCCGTCTCCAGATTGGATTTAGCTCTTTTATCTCCTAATCCCCAGAGCTTTTTAATGTAGAAAGTAATGGCATCCAAAGGCAAATTTAATTTTGACAAGTAATCTGACTTCCTTTCCTTTTCTGGATCCCGGTTTTAATCCTGTTTGCTGTCTGAAGCTGCATTATATGGATGTATTTAAAATCCTTACCCCTCTGAAATCTTTCAAAGAGGGAGAAAAATAAGGGAAACTGCAAGCCTGGAAGCAAGGAATAGTTTCTTATCAAACATTTCAAAACGTCTCATTGCTGCTGGTTTTATTAACCCCTGCACTGCCCTTCAACTTGGCTCTGTGCTTCCTTTCTTTTGCTCCATTTTAAGTGTCAGAATCGTTCAAGGAGTGGGAATTTCAGGTTTTCTCCAGCTCTGCTGTTTGTGTCAGCAGGTTGGGGCTGGACTGCGAGTGCAGAGCTGTGACCCCCTTGGGGTGATGTCCCTCTGCCACCAACACGCTCCGGTGTGGAGGATGCTGCCTACCCAGTGTTTGGCATCAGCCACTGCAAAAAAAAATCCCTAAACCCAAATCACAGGGAAAGGGCAGGGTAATGGAGCTTCAAAGCCACTAATCTCAGCAGAGAAAATAGAAATTTATGTTGTTATTACACTTCTCAGCTCCAGGTCCCAGAGGAACACCAATCCATTGGACTGATCATTGGCTATTTCCGACACGGTGACACCTCACCCTGTGCTGTTGTCCTGATTCATCTCAGCTCAGAGCTTACTGTTTCCTTGAAAATATCAATTGCAAATAGGGCCTTTCTCCTCCTGAGAAAATCTGTGCTTATTGACTGGGACTGTTTTCACAAAAAGCCATAAAATGCAGAATGTCCCTGTCACTCTGCGGCGACTCAGCTGATGGTTCATTATTCCAGCACATAAATACCTGACTCCTGCAGAAACCAAATGTGCAGCTCCAGGCACTGATGGCACCTCGCTATTAAACAAATAAAATGTATATCTGTCTCATTCCAGCTTGGTTAGAAAAACCATCTCAGCAAAAGGAGGGATTGTGTTTAAATACAGGGCTTTGCAAACGTCAGCCTCAAAACAGGGAGAGGAACTCGTGAGCCGGGCAGGGATGGAAAGGGATCAGTTTTCCACGGCGAGGTGCCGTGGTCAGAGGGAACTAAGGGAAACAAATGAGGGCTTTGCTGCAGGTGATTTGGTGCTGGAGGATATTAGAGTAAGTCACGTCCCACATGCCAACATGCTCCATTAGGCTTCAGACCAGGGCCACACGCTCTCAGCAGAGAACCAGTGTACAACAGCATTAGTTACCGAGGGGTGAAGCAGCAAAACCACTTCCTTTTGCAATTCCTGCCTTTTTTAATCCCCTCCTTCCTAAGCCACCAATCCATCTTGCTCGGGATCCGTCATGGGAAATAGATGGTGATGTAGAGGATTAGACCACTCTAGGGATGCAGGAGCACGTTGGCTGGGTTAGGAGTGAGGGAAAAACATTTGGGCAGTATTTTTGTTTTCACTTTGCTCTCTGAAATAAACAGGAATTTTCCAACCTCTTTTTTTGACTACAGACAACCACACCTTGGCCATATTCTACCTGCATTCCCAACTAAACACGCACTGCATGATCCTGGCATAAAGTAGAGGGTCTTCTTGTGTGGAGTTGACTGGAAGAGGATGTTAAAGGACTTTCTGCTTGGAAGCTGATGCCCTGGTGCAGCTGTAACCAGCCAAAACCTGAGAGCCAGCCAACACCTCCATCATGGACCAGTAAGGTTGAGTCTATTGTTGCTCTCATGTTCAGTCTCTTCGGTCCCCCCAGAGAGGGGGGAAATGCAGGTGCTGCACCCACAATGCAGAGATGCCCTGCCCTGGGAATGCATCAGGAATCACAGCCAGCTGAGCCAAAATGGGAATCAAGGCACTGTCCCCCCAGCCACCTCCAAGTATCAGCTTCCACCTTGGCTCCTCAAGGACCAACTCTGCTTTTAAAGGCAGGGCAGTTGGATCCAGCCGGGCTGTGGATGTTTCCCAGCAGCTGCCTGGTGCATACGGTTCTGCACATTTGTGTTAATGATCGTGATGAGCACTGGAAATGTGTCTGGGCGGGAAATAGAGAGCAGATGAGCCCAAGCACCACACAAGCTTCATTTCCTTCACGAGGCAGACTACTTGGGCATGAAATATTGTCACGCTTTCCCCCGTGGATGAGTGATTCCAGACTTGACCCAGTGCAAGCCGGTGTAAGTAAACACATCTCCTCCGTAGCTCTGGTAAATGATCTAAGAGATCTAATGCTGAGAGTAAGGAGAGGAGGGGAAATATTGTCCCAGGGTTGCTGGATGAGCTTAATGCATTTTTCTCCTTTTGTTTAGCAGGGTGCCTGGGATCTGGGTGGTGAAGGGTGCGTCCATCAAAGCTCAGATGACGTGTGGCCCTGTGGTGGGTGTGACGTTACCGGCCGGCTCACGTGCGGAGCGTTGGGATGATTCACCTCGATTCCGAGTCCCTTTCATCACCATTCAGCCCAGCCCCCAGCTTCCAGACACTCAAGGACCAGCTCTGTTTCTCCAAAGCTTTTCAAGCGTGTTTCAGCACAGCAAAAGCAGATCTGGAGCCAAACTCTCTCCCTGTGGGATGAGTTCATATCTGGGGGTCCAATGCAGGCTCCTGCTCCGCGTGTGAGTGCTGGATGCTGTGGGAGGGACATGGATGATGGTCATCACATAACTGCAAAAATCAATTCCTTTCCTTTTTTGTGACAGCATTTAAAAAACTCAGAGCTAATTTAAGAAATAACCCATTTGTTTATTTGTAATAGACGAGGATCGTTATGGACTGTTTATTTTTTATCTCCTCTGCTTTGTCAAAACACAAATCTCTCAAAGTCCATGGTATCTCAAGCCAAACTGCAGGCAGGAACATCATGATGATGTTCCCCTTCCCTGGGAGGGTGGTGAGGCCCTGGCACAGCTGTGGCTGCCCCATCCCTGGAAGTGTCCAAGGCCAGGTTGGCCAGGGCTTGGAGCAACCTGGGCTAGTGGAAGGTGTCCCTGCCCATGGTAGGGGGTGGGACTGGATGGTCTCTAAGGTCCCTTCCAACCCAAATTACTCTATGATTCTATGAATCCAGTAAAGATGACTTAGGAAAATGACAACCACAGTGACAACTCTGCCTTATACCATCCTGGTTTGTATTTTCAGGAACACAACATGGAGAGGACTGAAGCTGTATTACGATTTCAACCCATGTGCAGCAACTAAAGATTTCAAGTGGTCAGGTAAGTGCCAAGCTTCTAGAGGGGAAACACAGTGAGAATCAAATCTCCTTGATAAAATGGAGAAGAAATAGAAACTTTTTACTGGTGACATGAGCAGCAGTGAAAAAAGCAGCATAATCCCCCCCCCAGTCACTCCCCAATTGATGCATATGGATTAACAATGGGGGCTTGTCTTAGGGCAGGACAGGAGGAGTCCTGGTAAGATGTTGCTCTAGCTGTGGTATCTGACACCTCCCCAGCTGTTAAATGATGTGGGGTGTGACCCTGCAGCTGGTGCCCATCAACAGCCAGCCCTGATTCCTGGGATGGAAAGGGGTTTCTCCAGCCAAGTAGGGATGAAATGGCAAACCCAGGTACCCTTCAATGCAGGGCTGTTTTGGGCTGTGAAACGGAGAGGACGTTGCCTCATGGGACAGATGGAGAGGAAAGGGAGACAGCAGGAAAAAAAACACAATTCCAGCCAAGCAATATGGCCAGTTACCCAATTCCCTCTCTTTTTCCCTTTAATATTAAAGTAATAACAGCACATTATGTGGAATGGAGAAACCCCTCTCAGGACTGGGTTTTTATCAAGGTGGGTGACAAACCAAGACACATCACTGTGTGTTTGGGAGCCAGTGACAGACGGCAGAGCCCATTCCCAGCATCCCAGCACTGCAGGGAATGTTACAGGGAGAAGACAAGCAACCTGTCCCTCTCTCCTTTCTTATTTCCTTTTTTTTTTTTTTTTAATAACTGAAAATATTCCCATTCCCATTAGCCTTCTGTAAGTGCCTCTAAAGGCAGGCTGAAGCTGGGCTTTACAAATTTCCCCCAAATCTCTTGGGAGCAGCCAGAGCCTCCGAAGAAGCAATATTTGGATGGGAAACTTATGTCCTCCAAGCTGGCAAGTCGTAGCACTGACACAGATTTTCTTGTAGCTGCAAAGCTCTCTGTGTAAAGGGTATAAAGTCCCTTCTGCCTTCTCCTCCTTCTCCCCCCCTGTGTTATTTAACAACTGGCTATGATTTACATGGTTCATTAATGCACTGGTAACACTGACACACGCATTCCCAAATAAGCCAGAAGGTTTATATTTGACCTGGGCCCTCTGTTCACTGCAGATGCCCCAGAGGATTTGAAAAACAGTGATTTGAAGTGATTGCATTGGATAAGGACATTACTCAGTGCAAATACAATTGGATGCAAGCATTTAATTTTTAAAAAAACACGGCTATTGCAGTGCCTTTGAGCCAGAGAAAACAACAGTTTAGCTCCCTTCATGGCTTTGGCTTTTTATTCTCCCTGAGGACAGGAAAGGGAAGCAGGACCAGTTTCAAACTGGAGAGGTTTTGTCAGGTGGCTTGGCTGGGATTGCTCTGAAATGGCCTTCAGGACCTTTCAGGTCCCACCTTGGGGGACTGACACCCCAGGCAGGGTGGCAGCAGAGTTTTGGGGTGTCCCTGGGCTGCTCAGCTCCTCCCCAGGCAGCACAGACAGACCTGAGCTCCCAGCCAGTTTCCAACAGCAAGAGATCAGGCCCGGGGATGAACTACAAAGGGAAATATTTGTCCCCCTTGGGTTGGATTTTTATTGCTCCATTTTGGTTATTGGGGACTGAAGGGAAGAAAAGGAGAGAGTTTAAAATGATGATTGCACAATAAATGGCAGCAGCTCTGCTAATGTGCTGAGTGCCTGCAAACAGCTGCTAGTCAAACACCCATAAAGGTTTGCTTTGATGAGGTGTATAACCTTCCTTTCCTTCAAACAGCTTAACTCCATCGGCTCCTTGCCCTTTCCCAGGCAGGTGAGGAAAAATCAGGGAGCTGGAGCACCAGAAGTACAAACCCTGGGATGGCAGGTGGGGATGGAGGGATCTCCGGGGACCAGAGTGATTCCCTGAGCTCCCTCCCTGCCGTGGAGACCATCAGGCTCAGGGATGGGGATATGGTGAATGAAAGCCTGTACAAACAACTGGGACAGGAGACAAGATTGCTGAACACACGAGGGAGCAAAGCAGTGAGAACGTTCCCAAATTCTCCTGTGCCAAAGATTCCCCAGAGAAACCCCCTTGGATGGCTCTGGGAAAACGCTTCCCTCTGCAAAGTTTATTATATCCCAAAAGCAACAGGAGAGGGACAGATCCCTTAGTAACATAAACAGGTCTGGTTTCCACCTATTCTGATGTTTTCTTTGCCTTTTTCACCCCAGATGAGAGCTGGACCCCAACAATTTGAACCCCCCAAAGCCAGCACACGTTTCTGTTCATCCTATGGCCACTCTCTCATTAATCCTTCTTACACCCTCTAAGGCCTCCTGTGATCTGCACAGCTCTTCCCATCTGAATGTCTCCCAACTATTTACATACAAAAATAATTATTCTTTCTGGCTGCCCAGGCTGCAGGAACCATCACTGGCTGATTTGGCAGGCAGGAGAGTTTCCTGGGGAAGAAAGGAGAAGCAGCCTCTGTGCCAGCTCCACCCCCAGGAACCCTGGCACCATCCAAATTGGAAAGGAGGAGAGGGATTTTAAGGATATTTCCCTGGGTTTGTTAAAAAACAGGGGCTGGAGGAAGAAAGGCCCAAGGTAAAGGCTCCGGGCTTGCTGGCCTTGAGCACCTAGAGCTGCTGCCTGGTTTTGTATGAAGGGACCTGCAGTCAGGCCTTGGGATGGCAAAAGGCTTCTCTGATTCAGTGTTTCTACGAGGAACTGAGATGGGAAGAGCAGAGACAGCTGTCCCTGTTTGCCCTTTCAACCCCCCAAGCTGTCAGCAGTCCCGGGAGGATGCTAACAGGAGGAGAAAGGCAGATCCTGGTGGGTCTCCGTGGGGAGCAAGCTTGGGAAGAGCAGGGATTATCCATAGCAGCTTTTGGCTTGGTCTGAAAGGCAGCACTGAAAACATTGCAAAGGGTTAGAGACGCTGAAACACTTCCCAACCCCCCCCTGTGGACCTATTAATTGCAATATTGGATCTTCCATCTTTTCCAGCAGGTTCCCAGCAGTGGGCACACAGCCAGCTTGGCTGTGGGTTTGTTTATTTTCCAGCTAATGTAGCAGCAGGATCAGTTCCAGCCAACAAAACTGGGAATGTCAGACAAGTGCTGTCCAGTTCCCACAGATAATTTGGGATGTACACCTGGAAGATGGTCGTTAGCACTGTAATTAATCCAGCGCTGTGCTGGGGGAACAGGGACACCTCACACAAGTGGATTGTGGAAAAAGCAATAAGAGCAGATTTGCCCCATGGATGAAACACTGGCCACTGGCTGGATGGGAAAACTGCACTTGGAAACCTGGCAGCACACACAAAAACTCGGCTGCAAACACCCCTGTCCCCGCAGGACTGGAAGTGGCATCTGAGCAGTGCCCGTTTGGCATCACTGCAGGTGAGTTCAGTGTGTGCCTGGCCAAACTGAACCACCAGCATTTGTTACCGAGCCCATTAAGCTTCAAACAGCACTCGAGCTGCTGCTCCTCACTCGTCTGTGCCGGGCTGGGGTTGTTTAACACATGGGCTCTGCCACACCCAGTCCAGACTGAGCACGAGCTGCCAAAACCCCCAACACCCGGCTCTGCCGTGTGCTCTGCTGGGGAGGGAGGCTCCTCGGAGCAACAAAAATCCAGGGGGGGAAAAAGGCAGGAGTAGGCTGAGAACAAAAAAACAAAACAAAACAAAACAAAACAGATTAAAAAATTCATGTGTTTTGCCTTTTCCAGGAGCTCGGGTGGGATTTCATCAGGTGCCTGACCAGCAGGGCCCCGTGAGCACAGGGTTTGCAGGTCAGTGTTTGCCTGGCACCCACTCTTTGTCTGGCACCCACTCTTCCCTTTTATCTTCTCGCCTCCCTCTTGTTTTTTAAATATGCAAATAGATCAGAGGAGGGTTTCAAACCCCTGACTACAAATAGATCTGAAGGGCCTTTGAGCTTTTGAGAGGCTCCTGCCTTACTCTAACAGAATAAACAACCACAAAGGCATGGATGCTGCACGTTCCCTCTGCTGTGACTCCACAGTGGATCTTTCGTGAGGTTCAGTCCTACCTCCCAGAACCTCCTTTGTCCTCCCATTCCCAGCATCACCTGGGAATTTTTTTTGTGGGGAGTTTCCTGGGGTTCAGAGCAGCACAGGCAGTGGAGTCCCCCCTTTTCCTCCTTGTCCAGCTCCGTCTCAAGCAGATGTTTTGGGGAGGAAAGCTCTGGGATGACGAGCTGAGCGAGCAGAGGGAATGCGAGGCTTTGACTCGAAAACACCGAGCGTTGAGTCATAATTCTCAAAAAAAAAAGGGAACAAAAAACAAATACGTGCCAGCTGGGTGGTTCAGAAAATCTCTGATTGGCTCTGATTGAAGCATTCAACAGCACTGGGTCTGCTGGAAAATCCTGAATGAAGATGCTGAGGCCCTGATTTGGCTGAGCACGCCCGGCTGTGTGTGACGGGGATTCAGCACCGTAGCTGGTGGAAACCACAAAAAGAAGCGGTCCCTGTTATTCCCCATATTTCGTTTTTCTGTGCATTTAACACCTTGGCCAACTGTTGTTAGTTTACCTCGTTGCTATTTTTCCACTCTGCTTTTGATGCTGGAAAATTGAGGTGCACAGGGAATTTGGACTGTTCCCCAGGGGAGGGGAAGGGAGTCCCAGCCCTGTGCTCACCTCTCCTCTGACTGAAATCCCTATTTATCGCACTCTGTTTACTACTAGAAACTTTAAAAATGTTAAATGCTTAGAGGATTTCAGTTCAGACTTGATCCCCAGGCGACCTGTGGTGTATAGTTAAATAAGGCTGCCTTATGTATGCTGTACCCTAAATCTAAAGGTCAGGGGTTTGGTGGCCATAAATATTCAAACTGCACAGACTGGGTCTTTTAAACCTCCTTTTAAATATTTATGATGGTGCTTCCATGGCTGCAGGAGAATACTGTAATAGTATTAAGAGGAAAAAAAAAATCCTTCTCCATCTAAAAGCTCAGCATGAGCCATTTTCATATATTATGCATCACTAAGTGCTGTTTATGGCCATTTTTGGCAGAGCTTGTACTGGATCGTGGCAGAGTTCATGAATCTGGAGCTGTGCAGAGCTCGGGGTGTTGGCTGTGCCATCCATCAGCCTGGGCACTGCCTCCAACGTGGTGGGCACAGCTGATGGGACAGCTGAGGTCCTGCAGCCTGGCACTGGGGCTCTTGTCCTCCCACAGACCTGCTCGTCGTGTTGGCACACGGCACAAAAGCGTCCCCGAAACACTTCGCTCCAAGCTCCGGAGATCCATGGAGGGAAGATGCCTCTGGAAGAGCGACCAAGCCCTTGCTTGTGCCAGCTGGAGGGTGAGCACAGCCATGCAGTTATTCTGCTGTTTATTCTCTCGTGGCATTTTGCTGAGAGCACCATCAACCTCAGCTGCAGGAACACGTCTCCTGGTGTTCCCGGGGCCGGGCATTCCAACCACAGCTGTGCCCTGCTGCCTCCTCAGAGAGCTCTGCTCATTCTGTGGGAATCAGCTGCCAACGGGAGCGGGTGGGTTGGGTGCAGTCAGCAGGATGGGTCGGAGCTGTGACCAACAGCACCCCCTCGGTGCCAGGACTCGGGATTGCCTGGATGCCACAGCATCGCCGCCGGAACGGGATCTGACCGTGGAACCACGGGGTGAGCCAGCAGGGAGGTCAGCAGAGCTGAAATCACTTGCAGACTTTAATCAGCTTCCAATTAAAACCGAGATGGGTTTTTGTCCTTGGGTAGAGCAGCACAATTCAGCCTGACTGATGCCTCTTCCCTGGTGCTCACCACTCTTATCTCTTCAATTTTCAGCAGTGCTTATGGTTTAGGGGGAAGTGCTGTGTCAGCTCGGTTTCCCAGGACACAGGAACCTGTATCACGAACTTAATCTCCCACATGAAGTCATTTTGTGAGGGAAGCAAACTGGCTTTTCCCCTATTGCACTAAAACAGGCCCTCGAGCTCTAAAAAAATAAGAGAATGATGGACAGGCGAAAGGATGTACAACATCCACCAGCATGCACAGAGTGGGATGTCACAGGCTTCATTTCCTCAGGAAATCAGCTTTAAAATTAAGGCTAATCAGAGTTAAAAAACACTGCAGTTACCCTAGACCAAATGATACTATAATGTACTCAGTATATTACATCCTCAATAGCAAAGCAGCATCTGCTACATAAAATGAAATGTGTGTGTCACCATATGTAGGCAGCATAATGTGGACTCAAATTAAATAAAAACATTTCAGGGTATATGGTCCAATATGCAATCTGGGCCCTGGGAAATGCTGAGTTTTACTCTAAAGTTCTTAGCAGTTGGCTATAATGCTGAACCCAAAACAGTGCAAACAGGGTTTTTTAGCAACATAAGCTGTTATCTGCACTTTCCTCCCTTTAAGCCAATATTACTTCTGGAAATTTGGGAAATTATGTGGTTTATTTTTAATTTTTTCCTCTTTTTTTTTTTTATCTGAGGCTTTTTGCATGTTTCCACGAGCTGAAAAATCTCTGAGACCAGAACCCTGAATGTTTGCAAATACTGCTTTCCATCTGAGAGCTGCCCTCCAGAAATACCACGGAAAAAGCCTGAGAAACCACTCAGCCTGTTATCTGTGTACCACAAATAAAGAGGTAAACGCTGCAAAATTACTTGACTCTCACCTTTTCCACTGTTTTTCCCGCTGAAATCTCTCCCAAGCAAGGGGCTCCTGAAGCACTTTAGTGCTATTTTAAAAGAGATCAGGCTGCTAAACTGCACAGGCAATCTTCCCTGTGTGACTCAGGCTCACTGCAGCTCTGATGTTAGTTTTTATCCTCTTTGACCCCATTTGTTGTTAACAAAATGTGGCATAAACTGTGGATTCCCTCCAGGTGTCAGAAACGCTGGGAATATGCTGGTTTTGCCTGGCTTGGGTAGCTGAGGAGTTTGTTATGGTGAAGGATTGATCATTGTGTGCATTCAAGGCTGCTGGGAAGCTGCAAACCCTTTCAATCTGTTAATGTGGATTTCATTTTCGTTCAAAACAAATATAACAAGTGTAAAAATAACTTTAAAGTGCCAGTGAGGAAGGGGATGTTTGCAGAGGAGCTTCACACAGTTCTGCCCTCCTGCGCCAGGTTTCCCTGGTGTGGGGTTTTATCTCCTTTGCTCAGGTCCTTGAATTATTTGGATAATGAAAAGCCCAGGAAAGCCAGTGTTCTACTTTGTAGAAGCAGCAAAACAAAATTTCCAACTGTGAGGCTTGGACTGAAGCATTTGATGAGGGGAAAAGTCCGGCTGGACCAGAAAGCGAAGGAAAACACAGTGATGCCAGTGGAACTGGCTGTGCCACCGTCTGGAAATCCTGGATACACCTGTAAAGGTCCAGAAAATCACTAAGACAAAAGGAAGAATCCTTACATGCTGTTTTCACCGGGAAAAAGGGAACTCAAGGTAAATGACAGGGAGAGGAATGTAACGAATCTGTTCCTGCCTGGGGCGCTGCTGCCGACAGCAGACTCTGCCTTGGGGTCGTCTGAGACTTCCTGTGCCAATGGGGAAAGGATTCGGCAGCTCCCAGGGATTGGAGGCGTGGAGCTGGCTGCAGTGCCAGGGCTGGATGCCACCGAGGCTGCTGTCTCCACATCCACCCACCGCCCCGTCCCCTCACCGCTCCCAGCCCTGCGCTGGTTCGGCGCAGCAAACAAAGAGAGAAGCTGCAAACCTAAAAAAAAAACAAAAACAAAAACAAAAAACCAACCTGGATGGCATTTGGTTTTTCTCCTGCCATTAGTTCTGTCTTTTCCAGTTCCCTTCCTGCTCTTTGTCTTCTGCAGCTCCCCATTTCCTCAGCTTTTGTGTTATTCCTTCTCTCCGATGGCAAAGGCTGGTTCTTGCCATTCCTCGCGCACGCCGCCGATTTCTGACCTGTTCTCCCTCGGTCTCCCTGAAGCATTAGGGGATGAATTGAACTCTGGCAGTGTCTGCTCCTCAACCCACTTCTGAGCAGGGAGGTGAAGAGCTGCAAAGAATGAAAGATCTTTGCTTTAAAAAAAAAAAAAACAACACACCACGTTTTCGGATCTGTGCGCACACCTTGCTTTTCATTCCCATCTCCTTTGTCCTTTGGGGGCATCTGGAATTCCTAGTGCTGAGGCAGCAGGTGAAAATGCCTGGAAAGGGCCTTGTCTTACTTCAAACCAACTGCTCGAGAGATCAGGTCCTTAGAGAAGATCAATGAAATTTGCCTGAAATCAGCTGGGATTGGTCCTAGATTTTTATCAGCCTGTCAGGGGACGGGCAGATACCAAGGCAGCTTTTCAGTGTCCCAGTGGACATTAATTGTGCAGCCACAGTCCTTCCTTCCTACCAAGTCTGTTTGGGACCTGGGGGTGTTGTCACCTTTCTGACTTGGCTAATCCATGACTTTTCCATGAGATCTTCAAGACCAGAATGTCCATAGAGTGTCTCCTGTGGGTGGGGAAGGTGAGGAGGGACAATCCCAGGAGGGGCTGAGCCACCAGAGGCTCTGACAGGGAGATGCTGTGGGCTGAAACCAGGAACAGGGAGACAGCTCAGCACAGAGAGCTCTGCAAGGAGCCACGTCCTGTGTTCATCACTGAGTCTGCCTGCATGAAACGGGCTGTTGAGGAGGATCACAGAGGTGTGATTTCCTCTGAGGATAGATTTCCTGCTCCCCCGCTATCAGATGCTGCTAACCCAGCAATGAGAGCTCCCAGGGGGCTCCTTGCAGCGAGTCCTCCTGTCACACACTCTGAAGTCCCGTGACAGTGATGCTCATGCCTGGCTTCTCTCCCCCTGACACTTTTCTGACAAAGGGATCAATAGTTTGGGTCTGTTTGGAAAATCAATTCAACGCTGGGCAGCCCTTGAAGGAACACCATCAAAGTGTCGGACGAGCCAGTGGTCCCAGGAGGGGGCAAGGTGCATCTGACCTCGCTGGTGGCACAAGAGTGATGAACAGGGGAGAGATGGGAAGGCTTTGCAGATTCCTGCAGCTCCCAGCACAGAGGAAGGGGCTGCCTGCCAACCCCTGCCAACCCCTGCCATCCCCTTCTGTCCAACTCTGTGTCCTCCCGCCCTAGAGAACAGCGTGATCTGGAAAGCAAAGTGCTGGCCTAAATCGCATCCTATAAATCAAGAAGAGAAGCCAGGTGTGTTTTTATCTCCTCTCCTGCATCACACAGCAAGAGTTTCATGGAGAGCAGCTCTCCTGTAATTTCTGGAGGAGCTGGGATGCATCCTTGGGAAAGGCTCTTGGCTCTGATTTAACTGTGTCAAGCGATGGAGAGGGCACCGAGCCTTCAGCTGGGTTGTTTCACAGTCTGATTATCTTCCCCTGAGGAAAGAAACCAGGCTCTATTTCTACTCCAAACTGTGGACTCTTGCTTTGACTTTTTTTTGGCAGATGGAAGAGCCTTCATATACAGAAACCTTCCCCTTGGCAGCCTCCCCTCAGCCCGTCCTTGTGCTGGTGAAAGAGCCGGATCATCTTTAGTTCCACTCCATGGGCAGGTTCTCCAGACCCCGAATCCTTTCCAAATTTCTAAAGAGGCATTTTTCAAAGTCTGGGTAAGAAGCTGTGGGAATCAAAAGATCTGAGTTGTGTTCCCACTGGGCAATGTTTTTCCTTTTATTTCTCTTGGTTTCTTTGATTTATGTCCTGGGAGCTCTGTGGGACAGGGCTCTTTCCCAGAGGAAGGACCATACAGGGCCTCACATTTTGGAGCTCATGTTCAATAACAAGGTTATTGATATTAATTCAGAAATACTTCAAAAGAGGAATAAATTACAACAAAATGCAGAGCTGCTGCTTTTGCCCTTTACCCAAGTGCAAGCCATGACTATTACCATAAAGATCAATGAAACTGGGTGGGTATAAAACCAAAGGAGAGGGAGCAAAGAGATTTCCCTTGGGAACATGCTGTTGGTGTCTTGGAAAAAATCCATTTCAGAGCCTTATCTGTGTAAAACAAGGGGGGAGTTCTTTTCTTCTGAGGTCTAAAACACCCAAACCAAGTCACCCTCCATGATTGCAGCAACCTAAGGTGAAGCTGATCTCGTTGAAAATTTTTGTGTGAAAGAAGCTCTCACTGCTGGGCTTCTGCATCTCTCAAGTCTATTTTAAGCCCTGTGAGCTCCAGCTGCACCTGGGCCCTCACATGGAGCATCCTGAGCTGCATCAACCACGTGCTGCCAGGGTTAATCAGGAGCTGCTCAGGTGGTTTTTGAAGGCACTTTAAACAGTGCACCCACAGAGAGATCCAGCCACGTGTAACTCACCAGTCCTCCTCCCTCCTTTGAATTTTGGGATTTTTTTTTATCCCACTGTGAGCCCTGCTGGGGGAAGGTGATGCCCAGGGTAATGAAACACCTTCTGAGGTGCCAGGGGAGGATGTGTTCAAACCCTGTCATGCCACTGACGCTTTTGGCCTCATTGTGCTGCTCTTGATAAAGTCAAGAGGAGCTTTATGCTTTTTAAAGATCTTCAGCTTCTATGGGCTATAAAGCATCGACCTTAAAGGGAGGTGCTGAGGGAAGTATCTCCCAGATAGATCTCTGTGGGACAGTCAGACATGCCAGCTTTCCCCCAGCTGCTCCCTGAGCTGCCTTTTCCTAAGCTCACTTTAAATGAATGTGATGATTTCCCTCCTAGAGAAGAGCTGCCTGAAGCTGTTAAAACATCTTAGGGGGACTGGGACAATCTTCCCTTGGACATTTCCTGATGGAAGTGCACAGAAAGCTTTTTCCAGTTTGTTCTCAGCTGTTTGTTCCCACTGAGGCTCAGTCACAGTGCTGCAAATTTCCTGAATTCTGTGCTCCACGATCCCAGGACTTGGAAAGGGCCCTGCATTAGCTCATTCCTACAGAGATCCCATCTCCGGCTCCAGTAACAAGGACTCCAGGATAAAAAAATCCTTTTGCAATGAGCAGCTAAAGGGGAAAATCCTCTAGTGGGAACCTCTGCTAATTGTGGACCTGTGGCAAGTGATTCCTATTAAATTATTCAATAATCCCTAAGAGATGATCTGACTACATCTCTCACCTCTGGAACCTTGCTGTGTTGCTGTTCATCTGCATCACCAGGTACTAAAGGAATGAATAGTATTTATGAGGTCCTGGGAAAACTGGTTCAAAAAGCATTCAGGGTGCGTGTGTGAGAGAGAAATGAGGGGGAAACAGTCCCCACGGACCCTGGGGAGGGGAATGTGTGAGTGGGCACTGCCTGCAGCCCCTGCTGCACCAGCAGGGCCTTTGCAGGGGGCTGGGAGGGGATGCAGGTGAGGATGCTCTGCAGAGCAAAAGCAGTCACGTCCTCCCACTGCCTTGACTTAATTTAGCTCGGAGCCTGGCAGAGGATGCAGCTCGGAGCCTTCCTGGGGGGCTCGGTCTGGGAGCCCTTTGCTCGCGGGTTGGTGCTCTGGGGGAGGGTGTGAGATCCCCGTGCACCCTTCCCTGTTCCCAGGTACCGCCGGAGATCGGGGGTGGGGAGGGATGGCATTGAGAAGGGGGTCCAGGAGGGAGTCTAGGAGGAGGGTTAACCCCCCTGTTCCAGCCCTGCTCCCCGCGGGGCCGCCGCACCATCACCCCGCGCTGCCGCGGCTGCTTTTACCCTCTCCCTTTGCCGTGTTTAGTTAAATTTCCCCCGCCTTACTTGATGTCACATCCTGTTCCACAGCCATCCCCTGCTAGTAGCCAGCCCTACCAATTCCTTTCTTCTTTTTTTTTTTTTTTTTTTTTTTTAAATCCTTGTCCTCTCCCCATCACCCCCCTTTTCAAGGCAAACTTTTGGCAATAGCAGAGATAATCATTGCGTGCTCCGTTGAATTTCCCTTCGCAAATGTCTTTGGAGCAAGGGAGCCATTAAAAAAAAAAAAAAAAAATTAAATAAATTACCAGAGAGCCAGCACCGAGAGCAGAGGAGAGAAACTGGGATCCCAATAAATATGCAAAGTGAAGGCTCTGCTGAGCAGATTTCTGGCATCGCTTCCCGAGGGTGCTGAGAGCCGCCCGCAAAATCAGGCTGATTTTTTTTTTTTAATTGCATTTTGTTGTCTTTTTTTTTTTCCTTTTTTTTCCTCTTTAATTAAAATATTAATAAGAATAAAGGAGTGAGGAGGCAGCGAGGCTCGGGGACGGCGCAGGGAGGCTCGCCCGGAGGTGATCTGTATGCGAGGTGCCTAGAACGGGGTGCGAGAGATGCAACCGGCAAGCAAGCTCCTGACCCTCTGCTTCCTCATCCTGATGGGCACAGAACTCACCCAAGTAGGTTTATCTCTTCCTTCTCCCACACCCCCTCCTCCTCTCCCTTTCTCCCCAACGCCATTTTCTGTTAAACCTCGAGAGCACAAAAGAAAACTGGGATAGGATGCTGCACCTCCGTGCCCCCCCCCATCCCCGGGCGTCACCTGTGCCCAGCCCGCGGTGCCGGGGGACCCTCCGCGCTGGGGGGAGCCGGGGGTGGGGGCACAGGGCGGGGGGCTCGGGATACCGGACCCCCAGAGACGGGGAGAGAAGAGGCAACCCCGGCGTGGCCACCCCCCCGAGGGGTGTGGGGGACCCCCCACCCCACCCACCCGCGGGGAAAGTTCCCGTGAAGGGCTGGGGGAACGGGGGGGGGCTGCGGGACCCCCGCCCCGGGCTCGGGCTCGGCCAAGTTCAGAGCTGCCCGTCCCGGGTCCCCACGGGGACGAGACTCCGGTGCAGGGTGTCAGTCCCTCCTTGTCCCCACCCTACTCCTCCTGTGGGGGTAGCTTTGCTGATTTTAGGTGACATTTAAATGTCCCTTGATGTTTCCATCTGTGACAGCCTTGTGGGAGAGAGGAGCAGTTTATTTATCCCCCTCTCCCCACTCCACCTTTTTCTTTTTCCCCCTGGATTTTAATGTTTTTCTTTACTGTCCCGGCCCCTGGACAGTCTGAGTAGCGGGGCTGGGGGAGAGAAGAGGAGGCACCCAAAAGACATTTCTTGCAAGTGGAATTAAAACTCCATTTGACTTCTTTAAGCTAACTGGGGAGAGGCAGGCAGGGTGATTGTCTTTTGTTATTTTCCCCCGTCACTGAGGAAAGGAAAAAAAGTAATTACAAGAGGATGCTCTAGATTGTGGGGTTAATTGTGGTGCTGCCTGGAAGCAAAAAAAGAAAGAAAAAGAAGCTATAAATAGGAGGGGAATGGAGGCTTCTTAGTGTAGGAGCAATTAGCAGCTGGGCTCTCATCCTGGATGCTTTATGGAGATTATTTTTCTCTTTCTCCTGCTGACAATGCTCTCTCCTGTCACTGCCCTACTGCTGAAGTTTGAGTAGCTGAAGCCTTTTGCCTTTGCACCCTCAGAGTATTTCTGCTGCCCCCAGGAAAGGAATGGCTAAAGCAAAGAGCTGCCTTAATCTGGAGCCCTCCGGAGAAGGGATGAGAAGGTTGTAATTTGAGGGGGGGGTGAGGGAAGGGGAAGGAAAGCAAAGCAATCCCAAAGCTGTGTGGCTGAGGAGGGGTGGGAAGGCAGCAGAGCTGCAAGTGAGCGCCCAGGAGAAGCCCATTGTGTGAGAGATGCTCGGGCCGTGCGCATGCGCCGCGCTGGACAAAGCCAGGACCACCAGCATCGCTGGGCCACCAGCACGACGGGCTGCTGGCCACACTCCTGGCCCAGCTCAGGGCACAGCCAGCCAGCAGCTGCAGTGGCATCGTGGCAAAGCAGCGTGGCAGGGCTGTCCTGGCCTCGTTGCCCCTCCAGCCTCCCCTCCTGCCCAGCCCCATGCGATGAGCCCGTGGCCTGGGGACCTGGGTGGTGCCCCCTCCCCAGGGGTTGTCACCCCCTAATTGGCCTTTCCAGCCCCGTTGCTCTGCTCTGGTGGGTTTTTTCGAGGACCAAAAGGATACTGCTGTGCCTGGCTGCTTTTCCCTTTTCCTGCTTTATTTCACTTCAACTTTTCGACCAACTTTAAACCGGGGTGGGGATGGGGAACCAAACCTGCCCTGAGCTGTGGGGCTGGGGGCTGCAGGGAACTTGGCAGAGTTACCTCCCGGCCCGTGGCAGGAGGTTTCAGCCCCTGCTAAAGCCTGGCTTTGCTGAGCTGCCTCGCTGGGGCTGGTTTCTGCTCTGCAGTGCCTACCTGGGCAGGTATCCATGTCCTACCAGGCTGTGCAGAGCTCTCCCACCCTCGTGCCTGCTGACTCGCCTGGCACTGCAGAGCCCTTTCAGAGTTTCAGCATCTCATTTCTGTAGCACAGCTGCCAGATGCAATCCCCAAATATGCCTTTCAGCCCAGGCACCGCCCAGCTCAGTGTCTTCCACGGTTAATTTGGTGCCGGGTTCACATCTCCATCACACGTGGGGAGTCTCTGCCGTCCCCTACAGAGATCCCGTGCTGGGGGAGGAAGGATGGAGGTTCAGGGGAGAGAGGCTGCTGATTTAAGCAGCTTTCCCTGATGATGCAGAAGGTACTGCTGTCCCCTCCTGTCCCTCTCTGCAGTGACACTGACAGGCCAGTGCACAAGAAAGGAAGGAATGGGGAGAGGTCTGGCTCTTAAATGGGGCTGGAGGGGGTGAGCACAGGACTGTCCTTCCAGTAGGGGGCTGGGAAAGCTCTTCTTGTGGAGGGAAGGGAGTTGTCACCAAGGTATTGGTGCTGCAGCATCCTCTGGCAGTTCCCCCAGATGGGAGGAAGGATGTTTGTGCCAGGCTGGGAGCACATGGGTGATGCACATGCTGTGGGCTGCACCCCCAGTTTGGTAGGGGCTTGGAGACCTATCTAAGATGGGTGGTAGTTTTACCTGTGTGAAACAAGGGCAGAACTGCCCCTACACCCCCCAGTCCTTTGTAGAAGTCCCTGCCTGCCCCTCAGTCCCCCACGTGCCCCCAGAGGGCAGGGCTGGGGAGTGTCAGGAGCCCCAGAGTGAGACTTGCACTGGGATTTCTTTTAGCTGCCAAAGGTCTCCTGAGCTGTTTTGTGCCTTGCCTTGGCTCTCCCCAGGTCAGCAATCAGAACCTGGAATGACCTATTTTGGCTGGGTTGAACGGCTGGATTCAGGGTGCAGGGGCTGGGTGCAGGGGCAAAGGTGCTCTGGGCAGCCTGGGGTGCAGCCCCCTCCCTCTGCTGTGTACACAGCTCTTTGCAGGGGCTTCCTGGGAAGAGCATGGGGCTTCCTCTCCTGGTCTTCTCCTCAGAAAGACCCAGGGCAGAGACCAGAGTCTCCTGGTGTCCATGAAGGAGCTGAGCCAATTTATGCTCTCTAAGGATCCACTTGTCACATACAGAGAGACAGTGCTGCCGGAGGGGCAGAGGTTTGGGGTGCTGTGGTACAGCCAGGGGTGGTACAGAGGGGGTCTGGGGTGCCAACTGCTTGCCTGTCTGTCTGACCTGTCCTTTAGTCATTCCTCGAGCTGGGATATCACAGTGAAAACCTCTTGGCATTCCCCAAAGTTTCTCAGGAGCAGAGCAGTAGCCGGCGCTCCAACATCCACCCCCCCCCCCAGTAATCATCAGAACCACACAGGAAGGAAGACCTTCCTGGAGCAGGCAGATATTAAACATTTAGGGCTTCTGCAATAGAAAGAAAAAAAAAAAAGACCTAAAAATAATAATTTTGCCATTGATTTTCCTAAAAGCACATCAGGCCCCTCTTGGGGCTGTTTTCAGGGGCAGGGAGAGGTGCCAGGGACACGCTGCCCGTGCTCAGCAGTGCCCAGCCCAGCCATGCTGGCTCCCTTCTGTCCATGGAGAACTTCCCAGTGCCCAGTTTGATGCCCAGGCTCTTCCTCCCCCTGTCAGGGAGACACATGGAAACTGGTAGGATTAAGCTGCAAATCTGCAGCCTGTAACAGGAGGCAGCTGCCTCGTCTCATAAACCAATTTGTGTCTCGTTTCACTAACTTCAGCTTTAACCAATAAAAAAGAAAGGTAATTTTCAGCCCTGGGTTGTATTTATTACTCAAGTTATCAGGCCTTGTAATCAGTATTAGCATCATACGTAAAGTAATACAAAACTAATTACTCTCAGAGTGAATTAGGTGAAGGCTGCAAACTGTGCTGACAGTGGAAGAACCTAATTCTGGAGTTATGAGTGATAAGTGTTGCCTTTGCTCTGCTGTGATGAAGCTACGAACAAAAGGGAACAAGGCAGGGACAGGGACACCCAAGGAGTGTCCCTCCGGGGTTTCTTGCCTGTGGATACCTCAGCCAGGCTCTTTGGGAGACCTGAGAGGTTGAGTCAGTCAGGCAGGGGAAGGTGCACTTGGGGAAACTGAGATACAGAGCCTGAGACGTGTCTTAGCACCAGCAAATCCCAGCTGGGGGGGAAGTGTGTCTAAAAATCCTGATTTTCCTTCTTTTGTAAACTGTAGCTATTGGTTGTTGCTGCTCCCTTTGAGCTGAGCCCAGGAGCCCTGGTCCCAGCCTCTGGACTGGCTTTATCCTGGGTCTTGGCCCTGGGAAGCTTTTTCTC